GTGGGGCTTTGATATTTTTAGACATATAATCTACCCTTTTTTAAGTTTCCTGAAACTATTCAGATATTATATGCAAAGCCTTAACAATGAATTAAAATACACAAAGAGTCATGTAGGTGTATACGAATATCAATATACTAGTTAGTAGTTAAAGTTTAATCAAGATTTCTAAAAAAATTCAATTGAAAACGGAGTTTAACTTTTAAATGTTTCAATGATACAGTGTCACATATCAGATGCAGTGTTACCAAGCCATTTTGACATATATTGCTTAGTGACCATGCTGTCTAGGGTCGAATGCAAGTACAAAAAGGGGAGTTAAGAGGTCGCAATTAATTTGATTATTTTTCTGTTTTCTTGCTCCCCATTTTTCATATAACCTTGCTACCCCTTACAAAAACGGAACAAGAGGGCCAAAAAAGGAAGAGGAGACGGACGAGAAATGGGACAAATGGGCGTTGGGGGAGGATGTGCAATGGCAGTGTAATGTCAAGTGTGCGGAAGCATAAAACAAACTCCTAACGGGTTAGCTAGCAACTCTTTTTTCACTTTCTCTCTCCCTTTCTCTTTTTGCCTGTGTGCGTGTGTTTGTGTTTGCGTATTTGTATTTGTATTTGTCTATGTCAAGTGTCAACATTTACTCCGTGACAACACAAATTGTGGCTGTGGCCATTTTAGCACCCGCAACAACTGCTCGTGTGAGTGTAAGTGTGAGTGGCAAAGCCACAAGTGCTGTCCCTTCTTGGGATCGTAACTCGCCTGTTTTTCCCAATATTTTGTTGCCCTGTGTAGCTCTGCAGCTGTGTGTGTGTGCGCGTGTGTGCTTGAGATTTTTCATTTTAGATGTGGTCGCTAACTTGCCACGCATTCGCCTCCTTCTGTCTCCCTCACTCTTACATCTCTGTCCTGCTCTTTTTGTGCATTGCAAATGAAGCCACAATAATAAAAGCCCACACTCTAATGTGGGTACACTGAGAAATGATGCGTCCACATAATTAGTTCTAAATTTTCTCAATTGCAGAACCAACTCTGCCAACTCTGCTATTGTCATTTTAGTTTAATAGTTTAATTTTCAGAATTTAAATAGCTTTGTAACTAAATTTTTCTGGAAATGTTTTCATTTAAGCTTGAGAATATAATTTTCTGTAAGGCACCTAAGCAAACCATTTAGGAAAATATGGAAAATTCTTTCAAAAATATCAAGATAGTAATAGTCTTTTTCTTAAAATTGTGTTTTAAGATATACACTGTTTTGTTTTTTATAATTGCCATGATAAATAGTATTATACTGTATATTTTTGTTTCATTCGCTTATACATTACATTTTTTTTCACTGTGAAGCACGCACACAAGAGTTTGTTTGTGGCTTTGCCAGACTGCAACAACCTACAAATTATAGTTTTAAGCTGGCTTTCCCCACCAGTTTGCAGTGTTTTCCTCCAGTTAGAGCCATACTTGTACTCGCAGTAGCTGCTCTTATCTTCGGTGCTAACATTCTGAATGGTTTTGCGGGTTAGTTGGCCTGGCTTTCTCCTGTGTCTGCCCTTCTGCTGTCATCTCTGTCTCATTGTAAAATCTAATTTGCTTGTATTATTGCCGCAGTTCCCGGCGAGTTTCTTGGCTTTTGAGTTTGTCTCTATTACGGATGACATTTGTGACGACTAAATTGAATAATGCTGTTTAAGTGCGATGTGTGAATCCAGGATCCACTTGCGATTGGGTTGACTTGACTCCAAATTTTAGCAAATTTTCAATTGTGGTTTGGGTAGTGTCAAATTACTTAGTAAATAAATTTACGCCTCACAAGCCATTTGGAGGTTCTCTTTGACTCGTATGTTCTCTTTTAAAACATTTTGTATAACACTTTATAGTTTTGCTATAAATGTGAAAGTTTTTTTATTTAAATATTGGGAGTTCGGTAGTATAAGAAATACTTCCTTTACCAATTCAAGTAAATTGTTGCGAAGGTAACTTATTTCGAAAGCTTTTCGTCTTTTATAACGTTGAAAATATCCTTGATAAAGGTAGTATTCGAAAGCCTTGCGAAGGTCTTTTGTTCTCCCTACAAAATTGTTTAAGCTTTTTTTCAGCTTTCCGAGAGATTTTTTTAAGAATTGGAAAGCTGTAGCCTTTATAACTCGAATCTCATTTTATATTATAGCAATCTTGACCATGTTTTATGAGTATAAGAGAACTTATAAAATTCAGTTATGAATTCAGTTGGCTTACTAAACAAGCTCTGCGAAACATTCTTATACGTTCTTGTTCTTGCAAAATTTATAGGAAAAAGCTGTGAAATAATGTGGGTTCAAAGGTATTCCTTAAATTAACAGGTGTAAAATTATATTTTTTTGGTTATTGGTTATTTGTTAGCCCGATCTTAAGCCAGTTGTTCACATGGATAACTCCGCTGAACGAGAAAGTAAGCTGTTGCGAAAACTTCATATATATTTCGAAAATTTTAAGTCTTATATGCAGTGCGACGCATCGCCAATCGAATACATTGTCTACAAAAAAATTATATAAAATTAATTTTTTATATTTGTATTTTTTATGACTCGAAAATTATATAATTATAGCAATCTTGTATAAGTATAAGAAAAAGCTCATCGAAATATTGTCAAACACGAAAAATGTATAGGAAAAAGCTTTTTATCGTACAGATTCAGTTCGTTCAGTCCTGCCATAAAGCTTTTGTGGAGAGTTTTCTTAATTTTTCACATAAACCTTCAATCCCAGAAATTTTCGAAGAATTTTTCAAAATCGCGTAAAAATGAAAAATTAGGGTTAAAAATGGTATATCTGAAATTTACAGCTGTTAAAAGTTTATTTGTTTTTTTTTTTTAATGCAACGATAAGTTTACTTTAAAAGACGTATTTGATGCAAATGTAAAGTTGTAACACTTATTAATCGAAAACGTAACTTCATTCTCAAACCCAATTTCTTAAAAGAACCCCCAAAAAATTGCTAACGTTTTTTCGATTGTTATTATCAAAGGCAACCCACACGTCTGGGCCACAAAGACTCAAATTCAGTTTTTGTCAGTCAGATCTTGGTCAAATGTTCACATGAATAAATCTGCTAGCCGAGTTGTTTGTGCAATTTACAGTGATTTTGTTTGGGCAATTGCCGGAAAACCTTTATACATTATAAAACAGTTTGGTCTGCCAGTTTGTAGAACCCAGTCAAAGTTTAATTGTTGAGGTTTCTGTTTGCGTCTGACATTTGTGTTTTTGGCCGTCGCCCGCTCACAAACTTCACTTGCATATATATGAGAATTTTTATGAGCCACTCATTAAGTATTTGGCGCAAAAGTTTTAGCAGCTTTATTTCTATATTACCCAGTTTTTCACAACGAACTCTTTTTTCGCAGGCGGTGTGTGGTCAGCTCGTTGGAAGCCAAAGTAAGTCTCAAGTGCAGTTGACTTTTAATTGGGGTCGAAATCAGTGGCGTTGGTGTAATTATGCAATGGAATACGCGGCAGGGAGATTACCATTTTTTCTACCAGTTCATGTAGATTTTTAGTATGCGCAATTTAGAGTAACTGCCGAAATGTCAAAGCTTGAGGTCGGCTTATCTGGCTGTTATATAAAAAGTGACTCGAATGTCCGCTCCAAGCAGTTGCAATTTATAAAAACTTATCGATGTCATCAATCACCTCAGCGCACATGCTCTTTACCTCGAGCTAAACTACAGACTCTGCTCTAGATAAATAACTTTATTAAGTGCTGCAAGACTCCATGTCAAAGTTCGCAACTTGTGGGGCAGAAGTGCCCTGAAGAAAGGAAAAAATGCAATTGCTTTGGCAAAAGGATGCGGCGGGACCACAAATTGAAATTGAACTTGAATCGAATGGCAAATGCTTTGTGCTCGATATTAATCAAAGTTGATTGGCTGTTAATATGGCGAAGCAATTGGATGGCAATCGCAACTAAAAGTTTGGCCAAGTGCATCAAATTTACTTTCAAATTGGGTTGCCTCTTGCACTTATTGAAATTCGAATTGAGAGATTCCGTTTTCAACAATTTAAAACTTTAAAAGTCAGTCAATCTTAGAATCATTTCACAGATTTTGAAATTTGTATCCCTAATTCAATTGAAAATTGTGCACTAGTTGTAATGCAAGCTTCGGATTTTTAAAAAAACTTTAAAAACACAAATTAACTAAACGCCTGGAGACTCACTTCTGAGATGTTGTTTCATAATTAAAAATCTCCGTGGCTCCCATGGAGGAGAGTCTATTCCCGTGGGCATTCCCTAAACAACTTTAACTCGAAAGAAAGTAGGTGAAAGTACTATTTAAACCAGCCTTGCTGAAATGCTGAAGAAGAGAAGGGGTTGGAAAAAATAAGTTCCACTCGGCGGGAAAGAACTCTTTGGCCAAGTTAAATATGGACAGACAAAGAGGAAAAAAGCGAAGAAAAAATAAAATACAGAAATATGAGAGCGGCAACTTTTAACCCTTTATTCAAAGAGTTGGCTATCGCTGAGTATTTTTTTATGCTTTGCACGCTTTCTGAAGGCAGTTGCAAATTTGGAAACCATTTCGAAGGGGGGAAATACTTTCGGCTTCTTTATTTATACACTGGAAATTCAAAAGTTTTTTCTTAGAGTATTTTGCTATCGCTGTATCCATTATCCATTTTTTCTTTCGCTTTTTTTCCGTTCAAGAATTGAAACGCGTTGAAACTTTGAAATTAGCATTCACGATTTCCTTGTTTCTTGTTTTCTATCAACACTTTGATTAAAATTTAAATCTTGTGTAAAGTTTTTAAAGTTTTTTTTCTACAGATTTGAGACTACCTCTACTTAAATTCTGTTTCCTTTAATTACTATTTTTGTATTAACATGAAACTGGTTTAGAATATTAAATGATAATTCATTTCCTTAATGATTTTTTTGTTTTTACTTCACTTTTTATTTGGGACTGCAGAAGTTGACTGGGACTGGTCTAGTTTTCGTTTTCATCAAGCATAAAATAACACGGACTGGCACTTACCAATTAACAAAAGTTTCCAAATATGCATTTGAATGTCGAATGCGGCTGAGTCCATTCAAATTAGAAGCAGACGATTTAAAAGCCCCGCCACTCGCCAGCGTGCTTTTCTCCCCCTCTCTGTCGCTCTGTAGCTCAGTCTCAGTCTGTTTCTTTCGCTCGAAGGACTCTGCTGGTCGCTTCCTTGATTCTCCACAGGCTCTTAGGCTCGGAAAAGCTGTCGATGGATGCGCTCAGCAGTTGGGATTTGTTGTCGCCACGGCGTAGGCAGCAGCATCTTGTCCAAAAGTTTTTGATTTTAATTGTTGCATTCGCCTGGACTGGTATCTTTGCTCTTGCCCGCTTTCTTCTTTTTCGAATAACAGAGGCAATTAAACTTTCAGTTCGTTGGTCGGGGTCGGCAATCGTGCAGCAAATGACTGACCCCGCTCCGATTTATCCCGTCTGTGTCCTTAGTTATCGCTGTCACTTCTCCACTTCCTGTTGGCCAGTTGCAATTTCATGCAATTTTCTGGGGCAATTTCGCTCTCCTTTTTTCAGGACTTTAAGTTATTTTTAATGCCGGTTGTGTGTTCTCTTTTTTGGGGAATTGGACAGTTTTTAACTGGATTTGTCAATTATTGCGATTTTGTGTTTCCTATTGAAGCCAGCTTATGTTGTTCCCAGCTCTGCAAAAGGGTAAACGAAAGCAAGAAGATAAGATTTGCTTACTTGGGTTAAGAAAAGCAATACAAAAAATAGGGTTTTAAGGGATTCATAGTGTAGAGATATAGATGATCAGAAATTAAACTTTCTGTGTTTCTCTTCTGTAAAACGTTCTTAAATTATATTTAATATATTTTTTATTGTACTTCACAGATTTTTTCACAGAAGTGCATGAATGTGTTTTAATTAGTAAACCAATTTGTGGTCTTAATTTCTGTTCCGTGGTCACAATGAAAACGAGTTAAATTGAATATTAAAAAATGTTTACCCTTTATGCATTTATTTTATTAAAAGTATGCGGCTTAATAAGATCAGAGAAAAAATTATGGAATGCTACATTAACTTGTTGATATTTTTATTCCCCACCAGCGTAAATGATTAATTATAAGCCCAGTCAAAGGCGAACATCGCACAAATTATTGGCATAATAAATATTGAACAGAAGAAAATAACAACATGCCAGCACAGACACGATGCGCGACAAACTGAAATATTAAGTGCGATTAAAAATGCAATAAATGCAAGTACACAAAAAGCGAAATTGAATAAAAAAATTGTTTAAATTTTTTCTTTCTATTTTTAAAATGAGGTGTGCATATTTGCGAAGCAAACAGGCAAACGAGCAAAAGAGTTAAACAGTAGCCGTGCCATAATTAAAATATTAAATAAAGCTAGCAAATTTGCTCCCAGCACACCAAAGTCAGACCACTGAAAAAAGAAGTGCATAATTTGCATTCATTGTTGTCATTTTGGTTTCGTTTATACGGCATAAAAGTCTTTTATCGACCCAAAATGTTTGCCATTAAATTTGGCTGCTGTTATTATCGCCTTCTCATTTGCATTGTATACAAGTTTATTGTAATTTAGAGGTTACTTTGGATAAAAAACATTTGACACAACCACAACTATATGACTTGTATATTCAAACTCCCTTATTCTTAGAATCAAGCCACCAATCATTTTTCTTTGAAAATTTGTCAAATGGATAAACATGATTAAAAGATGTTTTAGTCATCTGCAAATTGCTGTTCAAATAAATATATTATAAAATCAAATAAACTTTTTAAGTAACAAACGTTGCCCAGATTGCAATAAGTCTTTAATATTCGGAATCTGAATAATGAGGAGGTTTTTATACAAGACTTTGTAAGAAACTTTGTCACTTTACATTTGGGATCTAGTCTAGTCTAGTCTCGACTTGTTTTTTCGCGGCCTGTCTCTTTTATGCCATGAATTACTTTTCTTGACGTTTTGTTTTCTAACAACCGCAAAAGACAATAAGGATGCCAGTGTGTGTATGTGTTTTCCCCTGTGTGCGTGTGTGGAAACGCTCGCACACACTCAAACGACTGCTATTTAATTTATGAAGTAGAGCGCGTAAAAATTGTGCATTGTGGCGTTTTCACAATGAGCAGAGTGCGAAGGGGAAAGGATAAAACAGGGACTTATCTTGCACTCCATGCACGCTTCTCCATTATTCCTCTTTTTTTTTTTGATTTGTGCTGGGCACAACAAAAGACAGTTTAGAAATGAGTGAAGGGTCGGGGACCGACATTGTCATTATGTTTTGGAATAGATGCAAATGTTGCCAGTTATTATGCCAAGTGTTTGTCGCTTTAAGAGAGTTTCTTTTCCGGCAATGCTACTCGGAAGATAATAATGATCCCAAACGATTACAGATGTAGTCATCAGCGAATAAGATAAAACTTTATGCTATGCTAAAAATATTAAAATGACATCAAATGCAGGTGCAGGTATATATTTGTTTCCATAAAATAATCCACAAGACAGTCTTTACAAACTAAACTCTTTAGGCAAATTCATCCGCCAATCATGTAGACCATTTATCAAACACTTTTCCCATCTTTCGAATTAGACGCGAAAACTTTTCTTCTGACACGCACACACTTTCGTGGGAAACTTTCATCGAACTGGTAGCAATTTTCCACCATTTTCTGCAGGCGAGGCGTGCGATGGGTGAAAGCTAATCCCGTGCTATAAATCACAAGTTATTAATGCTCAACGTGTTCGCTATAGTAGTGCTCAATTTCCCAGCGGAAGTTGCTGCATCATGGTGATGATCATCATCTGTGACCTTATTGGCGTCTCCTCATCACAGGCCCTATTAAGTCACCTAATTAGCGGCAAGCTCTATTTAACCAAAAATTTTAGCAACCAACTAACGTTGAGGGAACTTTGCTTGCAGCAATATATACCGACAACTTGTTGATTAATACACCGAGATTAAGAATATCAGAAACCAATTAAAAAAAATATTTGATTATTTTTTTTTTTTTATCTCTATGCTTTTATTAATTCGATTTTCTCCATAGGGTTTAAATATACAAGGAGCCACAGAAATTGGACAGATAAATTCATGTAAATGCCAACAACACAAATTGTTTTTCTGAGTCCTAATCATTTACCAATCGTTATCTCCTTTTTCCAACTATAGTACATGACGGCCAAATAAAACCGTCAGCAATCAGCTTATCCATTGCTTTTCCATTGAGCTCATCAACAGTTGGAAATCAATGCCAGGACTCCGCAATTCACTCTCCGGATGGTGAGTGTCTCAAATTTTCACATGGAACGAAGTGTACTTGCACTTCATTCGGACAGTTGACATGACCACTGACACGTGTAAGCCAGGGCACGCGCTTTTAGCATTCCACGTTTCATCTCCATACAGTGCGGTTCATCTTTATGTATACCGTATATATATATGATTCGACAGGAGCTGAGAAAAAAAAAAACAGACTAGACGGGTGAGGAGCAGCATCAGCATCTCATGTTTCTGCGAAAGACATGACCATGTCATTGTCATTGGCCAACAAGACCAAAACTCCCGCGTCACGTCACGTCAACGAAACCAGTGCCAAACCCAAGCCAAAACCCAAACCCAAAACTCAATTGCGACTACAGATAAAGGCGGAGGAGGGGGCGTGTCAGCAGATATGGAGGCGTGGCAGGGGCTCTAGACAGATTCGAGGAACAAGAGGACAAAGCATGAGTTATGGCTAGATATGACGACTATGTTCAACAATTTCTCTCCATGATTCTTTATGATTGTGGTGCCGGGTGAATTGGGTGGTTCGTTTTCAAGTGGGCGGTGCGGGTGGTGCCTGCGGAGCGGTGCAATAGTCACTGTCTGTTCAGCACATGGCAAACATTTTTTACGAGCCACATATGTGAGCTCATGGCAAAGGCAACTGTCTTGGACGCTATTTATACTGGTGGTTTTTCAAAATGATAAAAAAATAGTTTGCTTAAAAATTATATAATTTAAAAATATAATAATATAATTTATAATATAAATTATATTATTATATAATTTAAAAAACAAAAATGTATTACACAAATTTAAAACTTTTGTATTAGTAATATTACATATATGTTTCCTTCTCTATAATGCTGATATGCAATAAATGTTCAAAGATAAGTTTTTAATATAATAATAAATTGTTATAAAAATAAAATAAAATTAAATCAGATTGATTTATTCCATGTTTTATAACATTTTTCTAGATCTTCTATAATTTGTTCATTTCTGTTAAATTAAGGCTCTTTTTCAATATTGACAACTCTGAGTGTCAGTCGCCAAAGCCGAACCCATAGCTAAATTTTCGCAGACAGCTGCTGTTGATTTCTTTGTGGTATGTGCTTAATCCAATTTCCAATGCAATTGTCGCTACTGAGATGTGCCAGAATCGAGAGGGCGATGCAACTCATGCAAACCCCCCCTCTGATCCTTCCCAAAAAAAAAAAAAACCCAACTAACCTACACCCATGCGTGGTTTTCCATTCTGGTTTGACAGTGTCGGGGCGAAGTTTTTATGTTTTCGCCATTTTCCCCGGACAACGCCCCAACTATTTCGGAGCCAGAGCAGCGGGTGGAGTCACAACTAGATGATGGACAACCCTGCTATGCTGCTCACTGCGGTTGTCCCCGTAATTGTCGAAAAATTCCCAACCAATGTCCCCACATCGCACATGGATGAGCACAAGTCAGAGGGATAATTATGACCATGGAGGAAAATGGCCGGAAAACAAATGACAGGTGCGGATTCTGATTGCGAATAGGGTCTGCTGAATGAGTGGGAGCAGGGGAAAGCTCGATGAAATTCCCGGCTAAATACACGTCGAATTAAACAAATCTTCAACGCACATAGCACACAGTATTTGTCGAGGCATTTTAGAGGCCATTAATGTTAGTTCACTTCCATTCGCACTTTCTGATTACTGGGTGCTACACTAAAAGAGACTTTCGTTTATGCTTGGAAAATAATTGTAGCTTAAGTTGATTTTATTGAAAATAGCGTTAGTTAAGTTATTATCTGGCTTATTAGCTTATACTAAAACAATATAAGATTAAATAATTGTTTTCAAATTGCTTTGAATGTATTGCGTGGAAAAAACCTGAATATTTTCTAAACACTTAGTTACTCAGAACTAATAAAATTAATATAATTTTAAACGATTGTCTTTTAACTAGGGTATTTATAGCCGTCTAGCACTTAAAAAACCCTTTATATGTAACTCTATTGGCTTTGATTTAAATTCTAACTTCGATTTAAATAACGTGTTCCTTGTTTTTAAGTGTAAGAGCATGAGGATCTGACCGTTGAGAGCGGTCTAGCAATTTGAAAGCTCAATCATGTTGCAGCAGCTGTTCGCGTGAGTGGCCAAAATGCTGAAATGCCAAAATGCCGAAACGCGTGCGCTCCTGCTTAGGGGTTTTCAACCCCATCTACTACTTCCACCACCCACTCACTCACACATGGGCAAATTATGTAAATGACATTAATCCTTATGGCGCACAATAGTTTAACGGTTCGGCGCTTTATTGTCACGTCCCAAAAGAGAGGCAGTATCAACAATGGCAAACTCCGGCAGTCCGAATGGCATCCGACCGGACTGGACCCTTAGTGCGTAGTCCGTTGTTCGGAGACCGGAGTCCGGA